CTTCCGGGGAAAAAAGACAGAAATCAGACTGTTATTAGGAAGCCATTGGCAGCACCGAGCCTGTGCTCCCAAGCAATGCTTTACAGACTGAATCATGGAATTAGAATCACAGAATCAGCCAGGTTGGAAAAGACCTCCAAGATCATCAAGTCCAACCCTACCATGGTCACTAACCCTACCATGGGTACTAGACCATGGCAGTATGTGCCACATCCAGTCTCATCTTGAAAACCTACAGGGATAGTGAATCCACCACCTCCCTGGGCAGCCCATTCCAATCCCTGATCACTCTCTCCATAAAAAATCTCTTCCTAATATCCAGCCTAAACCTCCCCTGGCAGAGCTTGAGTCTGTGCCCTCTTGTCCTCCTGCTGGTTGCCTGGGAGAAGACACCAACTCCCATCTGACTCCAACCTCCTTTCAGGGAGTTGTAGAGGGTGATAAGGTCTCCCCTGAGCCTCCTCTTCTCCAGGCTGAACAACCCCAGCTCCCTCAGCCTCTCCTCACAGGACTTGTGAATAGAATAGACATAGAAAAAGGACATAGAATGCACCAGCATGGCACTTTACCAGCTCTGTTTGAAGAGAAGCTGCACTGCTCGGTGCCATACGACGTGGGTTCACAGTAAGCTCCTCCATATGCTGCTTCGTAGCCTGGATCATATTTTTCTTCCTTCACAGCCATCTTTTTAGCATCCTCTGCAGAAGACCCCAAGTATGAGTATTCAGAATAAAAACAGAGCACCTTGCAAAACCAGCCACAAATTCTACGAGCTAATCCCTGCTCCCATCTGAGCATTGAGGCTGTACTGAAAAGAGAGTGAAATCTGTAACTCTACACCACATCTCCCTCCCATTAAATCCTTTATTTCCTTTTGCTGCTGGATGTCTTGTACTCTACGTTTTACTAAAGGATGAACAAAATATCCACTGTACCTTGTGCAAGTTGCAAGTCAAACGTGTACTGCACCTCCTGCACCTCTGTGTTGGGTGCGATGCCTTTCAGTTGATCCCTTAAGTCTTTCAGCTTTATGTAATAATGAACTTTATCTTGGGCCCGAGGAAACTGAGCACACCTTGCACTGGATGATGGCATAACGTAGCAGAGCTTGAGACAAAGAGCAAGAAAAACAGCATTACTGACCCCTGAGCTAAGAGTTAATACTGAGAACAACTTCACAGTTAAGCTCACCGTTTGGACCCTTTGTACAAACTAATGTGATTGTGGAAGGGGCTGAAAGTCTGTCATTTTTCTTGGCCTGTTAGCTGTCTTGCCCTGAGGAGAGGCTAAGAGTTGTTTCTGTGCTGCAGGAGAAGCAGTACCAGTGTGTGTACAACTCACAAGTGTATGCCAGAGAGCAGAGCACAATCCAGATCTCCCTGAGCAAGCAGAGCTCTGAGCCAGAGAGTCTACAAAGGAGTATGTGACACACTGCAAACAGCTCAGCCCAGGGAGTGAGGCACCACAGGTTAACCAGTTTCTTGGCCAAGTGCCTTTGCACCACATGTGCCAGGGTGAGAATCTTCAGCTGGTATGGCTGAAGCGAATTTAATTGTCTCTGTCTCTGCCAACAGCCCTGACTAATGATGTCAAGTTAGTTCAGGAGAAACAAACTCTATCTAATACTTTAACTACTACGAAGTGTTTCTGACCAAGTACCAGTAAAGGGGTTATTTATCTTTCTTACATCTACTGCAGAAGTCTTTAAGAGCTACTTAAGAAGCAAGTCCTTAGTCACCAACAGTTCTCCAGGCTCTGACGGCAATGCTTCCCCTTCAGAGAAAAGCAGCTTCAACTTGCAGCACTAGTAATTTGGGATAGAAATAGGATGAAAACCGTCCCAAACTTTGAACGGACAAGGTAATGAATCTTTGGAGTAAGCTACCTTGGCAGGTAGCATAATTCTCTTTGCCTTAACCTGTTTATAAGCACATGTTAAACAAACCTATTTGAGATGATACATCTTAGACTCTTGAGAGATTTTCCAGCACTGGATGTCTGTGACTAATGCACTCCTCATCAAACTGCTGGTTTTATCTGGAGTGTTCAATTGGACTTCAAACTGCAAATCAGCTTAAGGAGATCCACTCTGATGGAAGCACTTGGGAATGCCCAAATCCAATAAATGATCTCATGGCTCTCTCCAACTCCCTAAAAGGCTTGGAGACAGGTGGGGGATGTCTGTCCTGCCATGACTGCAGGGAGAGGACTAGAGGGAATGGCCTTGAGCTGAGACAGGGCAGAGTCAGACTGGATGTAAGGAGAAATGTTTTCTCTGTGAGAGTGTTCAGGCACTGGGATACTGCCCAGGGAGGTGGTGGAGTCACCATCCCTGGAGGTGTTGAACAGGCAAGGCATCTGGACACTGGAGGATATGGTTTAGAGTTTCAGGGTTACAGCAGTGACAGGTGAATGGTTGGACTTGATGGCCTTAGAGGTCTCCTCCAACCCTGATGGTTCTACAATTGCACCGTTTCCCTTTCTCTATGCAAGTAAAAGCCTTTTACATCTCTTGTACTTCAGTCAAACTGATGTTACCATAACTGTGTGCAAGTCCTGAGATGTCATTAGATTTTACATAACTAAATCAGGGTTACAGCAGTGACAGGTGAATGGTTGGACTTGATGGCCTTAGAGGTCTCCTCCAACCCTGATGGTTCTACAATTGCACCGTTTCCCTTTCTCTATGCAAGTAAAAGCCTTTTACATCTCTTGTACTTCAGTCAAACTGATGTTACCATAACTGTGTGCAAGTCCTGAGATGTCATTAGATTTTACATAACTAAATGGAGTGCTCTGGTTTTGCTTCCTGGTCTCATTACTCACAGTTTCTGTATCTGGCACTTTGTGTGGTTGCAGTCCAAATTCCAAGTTCTTAACTTTTATTCCAAAAACTTCTTTACTAAAAATTTCATAAATACCTAAAATGAAAAGAAGATAGAATAAGAGATGGGAGGGGGAGAGCTACTGACAGAAGAAATTCCTGATGAAGTCAAGGCTCTCACATTTGCCATTGAAAGCTGCTATCCGAGGTTTGTACTTCTGTAGCTTCTGCATCAGGATTCGCCCTCCTTCCCGAAACTCTTTGCTGAAAGGGAAAGGAGTCAAAGTTATAATCATAACTAGTAATTCATTAGTAGTGGTGAGACATTGGAACAGGTTGATACTGGAGAAGAGATAGATGATATGGAGAAGAGAAGCACCTTCCAGGATCTGAAGGGGCTCCAGGGAAGCTGCAGAGGGACTCTGTTAGGAGCTGCAGTGACAGGACAAGGGGCAATAGGTGCAAATTGAAAGAGGGAAAATTAGGTTAGATCTTAGGAAGAAGTTTTCCCTGTGAGGGTGGTGAGACACTGGCACAGGTTGCCCAGGGAGGCTGTGGCTGCCCCAACCCTGGCAGTGTTCAAACCAGGTTGGATGAAGCCTTGAGCAACCTGCTGTTCTGGTGGGAGGTGTCCCTGCTCAGGGCAGGGGCTTGGGACTGGATGATCTCTAAAGCCCATTCCAACCCCTAAAATTCTATGATTCTGTGATATTCCCTTCTTGTTATCCTACCTGGACAGGTCTTTGCTTCCAGGTGTTGTCCTTTCAACCATGTTTGTAAATCCAATCCCATATTTATGTGGCAAAGTGTGGTCATCCATATGGTTCAGCTGTTCATTACTTAGACCAGACATGAACAGACACTTCCCTGTGAAGTAGGAACATAGGTATTTACCTATTTCTAAGGAAAAGAAAGCACAATCAAGAAAATCCCTGGACTAAGGGAGCACTGGAATGCCAAAGGAAGAATCTACTTTAACAAAGCATCAGTTAGTTTGGGCAGACTGTTACCTTATCCAGGAAAGTTTCAAAGAGCCAAAATTAATTTATCTACTGCAAGAGCACAAAAAATCCCCAGTGAACAGGAATTCCTCACCACGACCCTGTGTATGGAAACCAGAGTTTTATCCTGAAAGCTGATTACAGAGATTCCGTGATTCGCTTAAGCAGAGAGTGGATGTGATCCATGTAGATTTTGTGGGAAAGAAGGTGGCAAATACATGTCAGCTTTCTTTTACAATTTGCCATGGCTTCTCCTTGCACTGTACTGCTCTGACAGAAGCTACTGACAACCTGAATTCATATGTGACAAATCTAGACCTGCACTGAACGTCACCGACTACTTCTCTTCTATTCCCCTTTACATACAGTGTTTGAGAGAAGTAGTTATGGGATTTAAATCACCCTCGGGTCGTTAAAAGCAAAATCCTTCTCTCCATCAAAACAGGAAAAAAACCAACCCAAACCCGTTTAATTAAAATGTCACAAGTTCTAACAAAGTTCTGCCAATTCTAAGAGGAGAAAAGAAAAGAGAAACCTACAGAAATGGTTTCCAGGTCCTGGGTAATGATGTCCTTTGTAAGCTGCCATCAGGCCAGGGTTTATGCCAATCTGCAAAGATACCAGGCCAGTAAAACAATGAGAATACAGTTAACAGGTCAAAAATTGAGTCAAGTTATGGGGAGGATCCTTAGTCAGTTCTCTAAGTCACTGCTAACAAAGCAGTGTCTCGTTTAGCTGTGCAAAGCCAAGAGCAGTTCACAGTGTGTAGAGCTTCCAGCAAACACAGCAGCAGCCTCTCATGACTCTGCGTCATACCTAAGACTTGTGTTTCTCAGAACTTAGGACTATGTTACTATGACATTTAACAGAAAAGGCAAAGCAGCTCCACACACAGGAAACAGTTCATACACTTTATCTTGCAAGATCTTGCCATACAAGCAACACAGATAAGTAAGCAGGAGAGAGTATACACTTTTCTACCTCATCTTGTGAGCTACTTACTATTACAATGTCCAGATCAAAGGTCAAAATATCAGGCAAAGTCTTGGTCAGAAGCTCAGCCTCAGACACACCATTAAAACGGTCAACTTTTCTTTTCACTTTGAAAGTATCTGTGATCTTTTCCTGTTTGCCTTTTGACTTGGCTGTTTTTTCCTTTTTAGGAGCAGGTTTCTTGGGTTGCTTTGGCTCAGTCACTTTGGCTTTTCTTTTCCTTCCTCCTTTTTTAACTTCTGAAACAACAAAGCAAATATCCATTTTTTTGTACAAGTCTAATGTTGCAGTGTGGATATTCGAAAAGACTCAGCTAAACATGTGGATACAAAAAGAAATCAAATAGAAAAATTCACCTTTAAAATTCATTAATTTAAACAGTTACTAGATTAATCTTGGATTTACTGGCTCAACACTTAGGTAGCTTAGGTGTCTCTGCACCATAGACACCACTCAGACAATCACATTGACTTGGACAAAAACCAGGTCCAAAGAAGGAGTTTAAGGGCAATATTTCTTTACCAATTGATTACTATCGTTTTAGTGATAGTCAAACTACCTTTTGGAGGCTCCTGAGCAACGTTTGGCTCTGGAATGCCCTCTAGAGATGGCTGCTCAGTCATCATTTCCATGTTGGGCACTGCAGTCATCATCTGATGGAAGGGAAATGTGTAAAATGCCTGAGCTTGCTGAAGATAGGCGTAGTACCTGAGACAGGAACAAAAGAGAGACATCAGTTAACCAACAGTTTAGAAACTTAGTGATGTACCAAACAGACTGTGAACAGCAATCTTTATCAAGGCTGGCATGGATAGAATCATTGAGGTTGGAGGAGACCTCTAAGATCAACAAGTCCAACCACTACTCTGTCATTGCTGGAACCCCTAAACTCTAAACCATATCCTCCAGTGCCACATCCAGATGCCTGTTCAACACCTCCAGGGATGGTGACTCTACCACCTCCCTGGGCAGTATCCCAGTGCCTGAACACTCTCACAGAGAAAACATTTCTCCTTACATCCAGTCTGACTCTGCCCTGTCTCAGCTCAAGGCCATTCCCTCTAGTCCTCTCCCTGCAGCCATGGCAGAAGAGACATCCCCCACCTCTCTCCAAGCCTTTCAGGGAGTTGGAGAGAGCCATGGGGTTACTCCTGAGCCTCTTCTCCAGGCTAACCAAACCCAGCTCCCTCAGCCCTTCCCCATGTGCTCTAGCCCTTTGCTTTCCTCGTTGCCTTTGTCTGGGCTCACTCCAGAACCTCAATATCCTTTTAGCAGTGAGTGCCCAAAGCTGAGCACAGCACTGAGCTGTGACCTCCCCAGTGCCCAGTCCAGGGGGATGAGCACTGCCCTAGTACTGCTGGTTACACTGTTCTTGATCCAGGCCAAGATGCCCTTGGCCTCCTTGGCCACCTGTGCACACTGTTGGCTCACACTGAGCCGCTGCCACCAGCACCACCAAGGCCCTTTCTGAACAACACCTCTTTGGGGCTGTTGTGTCCCAAGGGTAGAACCAGCACTGAGCCTTAGTGACCCTCATGCAGTTGTTCCTCAGCCACTGATCAAGTCTGTCCAGCTCCCTCTGTAGAGCTTTCCTACCCTCAGGCAGAATGTATTGCAAAATTACTGGACTTCTATTCTCCGGCAGCTCTACTAAAAAGGCAGCAAATTAACCAAGTCCACGATGCAGTCTAACTGGGATCAATTAAACCCAGCGTTACCAGTACAGTTCTCTCATGATTACTATAATGTGGAATAAACACAACATTTGTAAGTGAAGCATAAAGCTTTTCCCTTTTTTGGGAGAGGAAAAACACTCTGTGGCACACATGTCCCAGCCAAACTGTCTATCCCACACATCAACAAATTCCAACACACTCAAACTAAAATTCCTCAGACTTCAAGTTTCCCAGGTTTTAGATTTTTTTTCATCTTAGTTACTTGATCTGGTAAGATACAGAATGGATGAATCATTCTGGGCTATAAAACATTAAGAACACACAGAACATTTGTTACTATGCAGATTATTAAACAGCTTTAACAAATTATAGTAAACAGCTTTAACAAACTGTGTGGCAGATGTTGTCCAGTTATGTATCCCAACACAGCTACATTCCATATCCAAGTGTCCACACAGGCAGAGATTCAGTATCCTTCCATACATAAAGACATTTTTCCATACACAGCTCTTTTGCTCCACATATTCATTAGTCACATACAGCACTCACACCCCAACAGAAACTTCTGCTTTATCCTGTCACTCTCTTCTACCTATGCAGACAGTTTCTTGTCCATAAATTCTACTGCCATAAAAAATACACAGCAAATCTTCAGGAACTAATTTTATAATCTCAGAGCTATTAAAAAAACCACCAAATACTTTTTAGATACATATATATTTGTCCAAGAAGGTCAATGACATTCTGGTCTGTATAGTGTGTCCAGCAGGACTAGGGAAGAGATCGTCCCTCTGTACCTAGCCCTGGTGAGGCCACACCTCAAATCCAGTGTTCAGTTTTGGGCCCCTTACTACAACAAAGACATTGAGGTGCTGGAGCATGTCCAGAGAAGGGCAATGGAGCTGGTGAAGCTTGTAGAGCACAAGTCCCATGAGGAGCAGCTGAGGGAGCTGAGGATATTCAGTCTGGAGAAGAGAAGGCTCAGGGGAACCTTATCACTCTTTACAACTACCTGACAGGAGGTTGTAGCAAGGTGGAGTTGATCTCAAGTAACAATTGATAGGAAAGAATGGCCTCAGTTTGTGCCACGGGACGTATAGGTTGGATATGAGAATAAATTTCTTCATGGAAAGGGTTGTCAACCAGTGCAACAGGCTGTCCAGAGAACCGGTTGAGTCACCACCCCTGGAGGGATTTAAAAGCCATGTAGATGTGACACTTAGGGACATGGTTTAGTGGTGGGTTTGGCAGTTGGACCCAATCATCTTAGAGATCTTTTCCAGCCTAAATGATTCTGTGATTTTAAATGCCTCTGAAGAAGGGACCATTGCCTACTAAACAACATGTTTCTGGGAATCCCACTGTAAATCAGATTTATGGCAGAATAGCACAGTTCTGTGATCAAGCCGCTGACTTTGAACCAAGTACCTGTCCTGAATCAAGGAGAATGACTATGAACGTGTGTCTGTCAGATTGCTGGGGAAGTTGACTACCAAAGCCCCGGGAGATTCCCAGAGTACAGTAAATACCTCAGATCCTCTGCTGGATGAGTAATTTGTGCAGTAACTGAAACAAATGAAACTGATCTTCTGATTTGTATCAGGAAACACAACTGATACATGTAGAATTCAGTTCATAACGTCACAAATGCTTAACCATACAGTGCAGGAGAACAGAGTGAGTAAGAAAGATGTGGAACCATCTAACCCAAGCCCAGACAACTTCTTGTAATACATGACTTACTTTCTGTGTATCTAAACTGTCCTTCTTGTAAAGGGAATAAAATCCCCTTTAAACTGAGAAAAAACCCCACTGCACCGTATCACAAACAAGTTCTCTAACCACTTGGCAATGAGGTGAAAGAGAACTTTAAACCCTACTTCTAAGTTTCTTGTCCATTTTACCCCTACCTCTAAGTTTCTTTGTGCAGGATTCGATTGGCTCAGAAAGCCAACCCATTTCTGGGCTGCACTGAAAGGAGTGTGGGCAGCAGGTCAAAAGAGGTGATTCTCCCCCTCTACTCTGCTCTGGTGAGACCCACCTGGAATACTGCACACAGTTCTGGTGTTCTCAGTGTAAGAAAGACACGGAACTGTTGGAGCAAGTGCAGAGGAGGCCACGAAGTTGCTAAGAGGACTGGAGCATCTCCC